GCCGCCGCGCTGCGGGGTGGCGGAGGCGCGGGCTGGGCTGGGCGGTAAGTTGGGCAGGAGGCTTGCCGCCCACCGCGCCCGGGAGAGAGGCTTGTTTTGCCGGATTTGGGTTGGTTACTCCGCGAAGCCCGGGTCAGATTTTACTCCACAGGTGCATCTTATTTGAGGAGTTCCTCTTGGGTATGTTACCTGATGGATGCACTGAACATCTTGCTCATTTGAGGGTTGCAGGCTCAGTTTCTCATGACTTTGTTCTTATTTCTTTTTAATAGTGATTTCTCTGCTTCAAAATTCAGCAAACTGAAGTTGTATCAGTTGTGATTCATAAGTTGTTGGTGTTTAAAATTCTATCTAACAGTACACATTTTTAGTTCACTCTTACTAAACCTGTATTTGGGTGCTAACTATTCTAGAGATTTGCTTGGGCAGACAGAACCTGGAGTCAAGTGTCTGTGTTCACGGCTTGAGTGCAAGGGTTTCTCCTCACTCTACTTAGTGATTGCAAGTATATTCACTCTGTATGCTAGCAGTTAAATAACACTGGTTTTGAGATGGGAGATAGGATGGCAGAGTCAGCATGGTGCCACATCTGATGTAGTCAGCCACGCTTCTCTCCTGTGCCAGCTGACCCAGGATAAGTGCTGCAAGGGTGCAGCAATCTCACTTCTGGAGATAGCTAGGACTAATCTGGGGGTTTCTGATCCTGTACCGCTATCTACTGCTTTCAGATCTTTCTGTACAACCAGACCTCTGGAGTAAACAACTGGGGAAAAAAGATAGGAGAGCCCAAGTATGGCTTTTCAGGCAGTGGTGTAATACCTTCCCGTAGAGAGTGAGAGAGGAGCCCTTCATCTGTACAAGTTAAAGGCTACCTGGGAAATGGTGACATCATTTGGGGACAAGATCTGTGTGTCCCATTTATACTCTCCTCATGGACACTGTGACATTCCCTTTATCTGTCCCCTGCTAGGACTGGCGAGCAAAATGGGAATGCTGCTGGGTTTTCAGAAAGAAATGCTAATAATTAGAATTATTTCTTATTTGCAACTAAGATACTTTATTTTTAAAAGGGTATAGAGTGTCCAGAAAAAATAGAAAATCTTACAAATAAATAGAAAACCAGGGAGAGCTAGTCTTTTATAAACAATGAAAACCCAGGGGTAAAACCAGATTGTGTGCTGAGCAGCCAGTGCAGTTCTTTCCCTTCAAGTCTCGTGCTGCTCCTTCATCCTTCTGCTTTCTTCTTGTTGCACTCATTTGTTGAGCCTTATTTTATATTAGTCTTTGGCACTGCAATTGAATGATTCAGATACTTTACGCTCATCAAAGTCAAGAAAGCTTCTGTTGGTTGCAGGATTTTTCCCTTATGCACAGATCTAGGTAGTAGTTTTCTAGGAAGAACTGGCATAATATAGCTGAAGGTGCTTTCTCAAAGCTTCTGGGGTGTGGGATGCTAGAGAGCAGATGAAGCTTCTTTCTTGAGTACTGCTGCAGCAGAGCAATTGCTTGATGCTTAAATGTTTCAGCCTTAGGCATTATAAAATAGTACAAATCATCTTTTTCTATCTGTCTTTTGAGAAAGAGATGGGGGTTGTACTACGATGGCACAACAGCCAAACTCATTCAGATAACTACTCGTGGTTTTTAAATGCTTGCAAGAGAGTAAGCTTTCTTATCCCGTCATATGTGTATATATATGCACACATCTTATATTTTATGGCACTGCTTACTTGTTTCTCTCTGTTCTATTACATTTTCTGGCTAATAATTGTGGGTGTCAAGTAATAATGTATTGGTATCATATCACTACCACAATTCCGAATACATATAATACTACCTTACACCAAAATGATAAAGTGTTAAGGCTCTTATCAGGTCAGCAGTGAGTCTTAAGTTCCACTCACTGCTGTCACCCTGTGACAGCTCCCAGCTCGCTCTGCTCCCTGACTCAGTGCCTGGGAGTGGGGGCTGGCACCCGCCAGCCTGGCTGCACCAGCAGTGGCTGTGGAAGGGCCGTGTTCTCCCCCTCTCCGCTGAAGTAGCAATACACCAGTGAGCTCAGGCAAGAATTCAAATGAAGTCATAGGTTCCCTTTGCAACATTAATTATTAAAACTTTGATGTTAATGGATTGCAAGGGTGACTAACAGTGCCCAGATAGCAGGACTTAATTAGTTAAGTTTATAGTAGAAAAGTTCCTCTGCCAGTTTAAAAGAAATAGGTAAGAGGTGAAAGCTTCAACAATAAGTTATTATATGGAAGTTGTGTCAATAAATAGTGGCAAATAAATGTAGTTCTAGGATAGAAAATGTGCAGTTGATAGTAGCATTAACAAAACCTTAAACTGATTGTGTCAGAGATTGTGCTATTCCACGAAAACACATCATATCTCTCAAGTTACTTCTTAGTTTAACTATGAAAAATATATATGTAAATCCCATCAAATGCACATTTCCATGTCAGAGCACAGAGATTTAAGAACCAAAGAAAGCGGTATCTTTCAGAGATTAAGTGTAAAATGTGAGATTACTTGAGAAGATTTATTTTAAAATTTAGGAACGTGGATGAAAACATATCGACCAGAAAAGAAATGTGAATTAATTCAAATTCATAATTCGTAGAATCATGTTGATTATGTTTTAGTATCTATTCACAGCTATTTTTTCTGTGTGTGATGGATAATAACTGACATATGGCCCATGCAGAAGACCCTTCAGGTCAAAATCTTGACTCCCAGTAGCTGGGAGAATAGGGAATAGTGATTTATCTTCCCTTTTCAGGAGGAATGGCTCTATAGTTACTCCAGGCAGACTGCTGCAGTGGAATTCCTTACTTAACTCTTTTGAATCATGTGTTAATAGAAAAGTAGGGAGCGTAGAGAGTCAATTTCAGTCACAGTGAAGAAAAGTAATGTGTTAATGGTAATTGGAAAGATTAAAAACGCTGACAGGCTCAGGCTTCTGATCTGTTCCTGTGTTTTGTAATTACACATTTTTTAGTGAAAGAAGTTGGTGCCCTGTTCCTTAGCATCCAATTTTATCTTGTGTAGTTCAGCAGAAGGTTGTGTATTAATTAAAGAAACTGTGATAGAATGTACAGGCTCTCAAAGAAAGAGCAGAAGAGGCAGTTGGAAATGTAAAAATGCAGAACAGGAAGAAGTGAACTGAGGAACTGGAGAAATAGGATTTTTTGCTCCATAGTTTAGATATAATCAAGACAGTAGTGTCTGATTGACTGTTGGTTCATTGACTAAACTATGTGAGAGAATGGAAGTTACCAGATGGTCTGAGTCACAGACAGTGCAGAAACATATATTTCTTTCTAGGTAAGTTTGAAAAGCAGAAGAGGAATTTTGGATGGTTTAAAGCCTAGGATGATTTTGTTGTAAAATGACAAGGATGATATCTACAGAGAACTGCATCAGGATTGTGATTGATTTTGGGGGGCTCGAGAGATGAAACAAGTCTTTTACTGCTCGCTGCATTTGCCAGAAGGTGGAGCAGGACAGAACACTGATAGAAAGTTTGGGTTGATAATTTATCTTATGTTAGTATTATCTTTTCATGTGCTTGAAGGTGAATTGGGGAGGCATTTCCCTCGGAGAAAAAAATTAATTACTTGGTTCTTCCTTGTCTCTGCTCATCAATTACTGATAACTGTGCTTCAGTTTCTGATAGTAATACCTCTTTGACTTATTAGGAAGCTGCCCTGGGTATGATTGATAACTTATATTGTGTCTTTCCAAAGTTCATTGGAAAGAAAGTGTTTCTCTACAGCATATTATTGAATTTCTGAGATGTTTTATAAGTAATCAGGTGTTAGGGAACAGATTTTCTGCAGTATTGGAGAGTACCATGTTTGGCCCAGAAAGCACTGTGAGTACTGAGTGTGGTGTAGTCTAGTTCCCTCTAAAAAACTAAAGGTCCTCCATGTCAGATGCTTTCTGCGCTTCTTCAGTATTTTCCTACAGAACTGAGAAACAATGAGGGAAATGCAATGTAATTGAGCTTTATTTTCTACTGTTTTAGCATTTCAAGGATTTTGTTGTAATATCCTTTTAAACTACATTGTGGTAGCATAACTGTTGATGAATTAATATTGTAATTTAAAACTGGGAGTATATTTTGTGCATTCCATATGTATCGTACACTGCACTTCCTTTGCAGAGGAATGCAAGCTTCAAAGAATAAAACCACAAAAAATGCAGAACCATTCTACAGGCTTTCAGTGCCAAAGCAGAAGACCAGTTCTGAGATTATAAATGAAGCCAGAAATGCTCTACGAACACTAAGAACTCAGAGACCTTTTACACCTGCAGAGGATCAAAGAAAACTCTTTGGATCTGGATCCTCGCGAGCTCCTCAAAATAGACCCCCTTCAGTTTTTAGGTACTGTGACTTCGAGATTTTTTTTCAAATATCCTTTAGTAGCAAGAGATTTGATTCTGTAATTATGTTTCCGGTGATTTTTTTTCCCTGTGTTAATCTGTATTCCTAATCACATCCTTTAAGTTCTTCTAATGTTCCTTACTGTTGGTGTTAATCTATATGACCAGAAAGTTCCTGTGGATTAGAGCTACCACAGGTGGTCATTACACTAGTTTTGTATGTGGAGAATAGTATAGGAGAATGGTCTGTAACTCACCTTTTTCTTAAGACAGTGTATGCTTTTAATCGAGGTAGTCTTTAGCTTTTCCTAGAAACTGTGAAAGCTTGCTTGTTTCCACATAAACTGTATGCTAGATCTTTTTGCAGAGCTTTCTCAGATCTTTTTAAATATAAAATTGTAGGTGTTGAAGTTTGAAATGCTCATTTTTAAACAAAATTTATACTACTTCAAAATTATTTCTGTGTGGAGTTTTGTTAGGTACTATAATTCACAGAGCTCAATAGATCTGTCTCTTGTGACAAAAGAGGAAAAAAAATGTATATTGGGCTTTTAAAATACATTTTCCCAGTCATTTTTTAGCTCTCCTTATATGCCAATTCTGTAATGACTGTAGGGAGGAGATACGAGCTATATTGGTAATGTTAGGTGTCAGGCTTGCCAGAAAGGATGCTGCACCATGTTTGAATGGCCATACAAGTCAGTGTCCATGCTGTTTTCATGGCAGCATGACTTGAGTAACTCATGATACTCCTTACTGTATAGTGTTGTGCCCTTACAGAAGGCGAGAGCCTCAGAGTGACTTGGCTGTTTGTTGGTGACCATGTAACAAGGTCACTGTGGCTGACATCCATGTTTGTTCTGTCTGCTTCTCCTGTGTATGGGAAGGAGCGTGCTCATACCTGCACAAACCTCAGGTTTCTGCCCTGCAGTGTTCTGCAACTTGTGTCACATAGCTTGGGCACTCACCACAGTTGGGTTTGTGCATGAATTTAGACTTATATTAGAGAATTTATAGATGTGTATGCGATAAACTATCATGGCAGGTATACAGGCCATCTTGTAATTCTTCTCCCTTGATGCTGCTGGATTCCTGGATATCAAAGTCAAATTAGCATTCCTGGAAGAATAGTGGTACTGTGGAAGTGCTCTGTCACTCTTCCTTTCTTACACCTTTTTCCCATATTCACTGGCAAAGGGAAGAAGCATATAATTAAAAAAACCCCAACCAAACATGATAAAACACTGGGTCTACTTTATTCATATTATGTTTAATTTATTTTTTTTTTGCTAGTCTTCATGCATCCAGTTTTGATTTGGCTGAATCAAGACCAGTGTCTGGTGTTCGTCTTAGCCCACTGGATCATGTGAGTACTCTGGAAATAAGTCATGCAATACTGGCGTAAAAATATGTGTATTGGTGGTGTTAGGAAAAGATATGGTTTAAATAGGTTGAGGAGAAACAGAAGCCTATTATAATGTTAGTCTGAGACTTATAAAGTCAATTTTGTCATTATTTTTCCCCAAAGAAACCTGAAAATAATTTAAACTATCTAAATATTGCTGTACTGCATTGTAATTCTAAGTGACATTAGCAACAATCAGAAGATGGATACTTGAGTCAGCTTTCTTGTGTAAGATTACTAAAATAGAAAAAGGTCATGAGCATCACCATGAGGCAGCAACATTCCCTTGCTGCTAAGAAGGCGGCTAATGGTATCCTGGGCTGCATTAGAAGTGTTGCCAGCACATTGAGGGAAGTGATCTTTCCCCTTCGTTCAGCACTAGTAAGGCCACGCCTGGAGTACTGTTCTAGGCTCCCCGGTGCGAGAGAGACATGGAACAAGTGGAGAGAGTCCAGTGAAGGCCCACAGAGATGATGAAGGTACTGGAGCAAGGCTGAGAGAGCTGGGAGCATTCAGCCTGGAGGAGAGAAGGCTCCACATGGATAAGATCCATGGGGGGATCTTATCCATGTGTATAAATACGTGAAGGGAAGATGCAAAGAGGATGGGGCCAGGCTCTTTTCAGTGACAGGACCAGAAGGAATGAGCACAAACTGAAACACAGGAGATTTCTCCAAAGTTCAGGAAACACATTTTCTGCTGTGAGGGTGACAAAGCCCTGGCACACGTTGCCCAGAGATCTTGAAAAGCTTCCTGGACATGGTCCTAGGTAACAGGCTCTAGGTGGCCCTCCTTGAACACGGGGATATTGGGAAAGATGACCTCCAGAGGTCCCTTCCAACCTCAACTATTTTGTGGTTCTGTGATCAATAACTTGAAAGTAACTAGGTTGATAGTGCTTTCTATTTGACTTACACCTCTATAAAATGTAATGATTCTAGTTTATTTAAAAAACAGATAGAGATACTTGTAAGAACCCCCATTTCCCCTGTGTGAAAATTTTGAATTGTTTTCAGTTTATATCTGCTCTTTAATTTTTTTTTGTATTTAATCTTTAAATATAAGATTAAATCATGATCGTTTGTTTAGTACCTGAGAGAACAGAGCATGCTAAAACATTTAAGTATGCTTGCTGTATATATTTCTTCCAAGACAGTAATCTGAATGTAGCATTCTTCAGGAATTTAGGGAAAAAAAATTCCAATAAATGTTATACTTCAGTAGTTTCAATAAGGTAATGTATTTATATGAATCAAATTTAAAAATTCTGACCATACTTGTATTTAGATTAAATATATCTACACTTATATTTAAATACCAGTGTCAAATTTTCATTTATCTTGTGTATGAGCGTGGAAAAAAACTAGAGAAAACTTCTGGTAAGACCAATGCAAAAACTGCCTTTTCTGCTTTACCAATGGAGTTCAGTTGGTATGCTGTAAATGTAGAGCTTGTGTTAGTCACAGTGGTGGTGGGGAGTGGATCTCACCTACTGGCTATCTTCAACTAATATTGGGAGAGCTCTGAAGGATCAGACTGGAGACTTTCTGATGGATTCTTTATTGTAAGGAAATCGGTAGAGCACCTCGATTATAGAGGACAATGCGTTTATGTAGGGTACAACAAAGGTTTTATACCAGAGGTTCAGGGGGACAGTCACACCCCCTAAGATGCAATTTACTGACATAAACAAAAAATAGAACTTGCATGTTTCTGGATATGGGTGATTTATCTCAGTGTCTTAGGAAGTGGTGCATATGATTTGAACACATTTGAAGTGCTTTGGAAATACTACCTTAGTGCTGAAAAACAAGTCATAAAGAATAGATACGCCTCTAGAATTGTTAACACAAGTCTTTGGCACTTTTTTTTTTTGACAGATAACCATACTGCAGATGATGTTAAATGATTATTTATGAGGGAAATAAATAATTTTGAGTTTCAGTTGCTATACTCAGGCTAGCTTTTGTTTGTGTTCTGCACCCCTGAGTGTTTGCTTTTAAATCACAGTATCATAGAAAGGTTTGGGTTGGAAGGGACCTTAAAGATCATCTAGTTCCAACCCCACTGCCGTGGGCAGGGACATCTGCTACTAGATCAGGTTGCTCAAAGCCCCGTCCAACCTGGCCTTGAACACTGCCAGGGAGGGGGCAGCCACAACCTCTGGGCAACCTGTTCCAGTGTTTTACCACCCTCACAGTTAAGAATTTATTTGTTTTATCTATCCTAAATCTACTCTCTTTCAGTTTAAAAGTGTTACCCCTCTGCCATCACTCCCTGATAAATAGTCCCTCCCCATCTTTCCTGTAGGCCCCCTTGAAGTACTGGAAGGCTGCTGTAAGGTGTCCCTGGAGCCTTCTTTTCTCTAGACTGAACAACCCCAACTCTCTCAGCCTGTTCTCATAGAGGAGGTGCTCCAGCCCCCTGATCATCTTCATGGCCTCCTCTGGACCTGCTCCAACAGGTCCATGTCCTTTTTATGTTGGCGGCACCAGAGCTTGACACAGGACTATAGGTGGGGTCTCAAGAGGGGGGTAGAGGGGGAGAATCACCTTCCTCAACCTGCTGGCCACACTTCTCTTGATGCAGCCCAGGATGCAGTTGGCTTTCCGGGCTGCAAGTGCACATTGCCAGGTCATGTTGAGCTGGCATATCGCACTCTGAGTGGGACCATTGAGCCAATTCCTTATCCATCCAGTGGTCCCTCTGTCAAATCCATGTCTCCCAAATTTAGAGACAAGGATGTTGTGCAGGACAGTGTCAGAAGGTTTGCACATGTCCAGGGAGATGACATCAATTGCTCTTCCCTTGTCCACCAGTGCTGTAGCTTCATTGTAGAAGTCCACCAAATTTGTGAGGCATGATTTTCCCTTAGTGAAGCTGTGCTGGCTGCCACCAGTCCTTATTTTCCATGTGCCCTAGCGCAGTTTCCAAGGAGGATTCCCTTCGTGATTTCACCTGGCACAGAGGTGAGACTGGCTGGCCTGTAGTTCCCTGGGTCTTCTTTATTTCCCTTTTTAAAAACAGTGGTTATGTTTCACCTTTTCTAGTCAATGGAAACTTCACCGGACTGTCACGACTTCTCAGATATGATGGACAGTGGCTTAGCCGCTTCATCCGCCAGTTCCCTCAGACCATCAGATGCATCTCATTGGGTCCCATGGACTTGCGCGCCTTGCTGTTCCTTAGATGGTCTTGAACCTGACCTACAGCAGGCAATTCTTTCTCCCAGTCCCTACCTTTGCCTTCTGCGTCTTGGGCAGTGTGGTTGGAGCCTTGCCGGTAAAGACTGAGGCAAAAAAGTCATTGAATACCTCAGCCTTCTCCATATCCTGGGTAACCACATCTCCCATTTCCTTCAAGATAGTGCCCCCATTTTCCCTAGTCTTCCTTTTATCACTAATGTACCTGTAAAAGCTTTTTTGTTGCTCTTGACACCCCTGGCCAGATTTAATTCTGTCAGGGCTTTGGCCTTCCTAACCTGATCCCTGACTGCCTGGACAGAAATGGCTTTTTGTGGTGGTAATGGTATAGATATCTGTCTTGTTCAGTGGAATGGTATAATTAGATTTTGGATATGAAAATTTCTTAATGAGCAAACCTACGTAACTTTTATCTGTTATAGTCTGAATTTAAGCCTTTGTATAAATCCTTTGGTTTTCTCTTTTTTTAATTTTTCTAAGATGAAAATGAAATTATCTGTGCTTTTATTAAAATGTTATCTTTATCTTTGTCACAGAAACCAATACTTGTCACTTTTGCAAAAGATGAAGATTCTTCTATTTCCCTTCCAAAACCTCCTGCTGATGCTCCAGAGGTTAGAAAAGTCAGCAGTGCTCGGGCACGCTTGTTGAGAAGAACTTCTCAGGTTAATTTCCTTTCTGCTAAAATGATTCCTCCTGATCAGAGTAAGAATGTTTTGATACTTACTATTTTCTAAAAAAATAACTGCATGATAGCTTTTAATATTATTAATTACATGAATTATTATGTTATAGGACCTGCATGTCCTTTCAGAGTAAATTTTAAAAATATTTAAATGGCTTTAAGCCAGTTTTGAAAATGTGATTTCCAAAAGTGATACTGGCTTTCACTTCTGAAACAGGCTGCTCAGGTGCCTTTTTTCCTATCTAAGTAATGGCATGAAAGTTTTCTTCAATGGTTAAAATTAACATTAAATGCCGAAATGTTTAAAGAGATAACAAAATGGCATCATTTAAGGAGATTCCCTCATGGATTATTGAGCATAAAAGGAGGAGTAAAAAGAAATTATATGTCTTGACAGGTGTCCAACTACATCGTATTTGTTGTTAAGAGTTTCATTAGTGGAGACTTAATAAAGGTCACTAAATGTGGGATATAAAAGTCATTTTCTTGCAGATGGGAAATGACTTGACATCTTGGTTTCCTGCATATTAGCTCATAATAAAATGTGCTGGAACTCTGTCTGTAATGAAGACTCATTTGTAATAATGATAATTCTTACATTGCCTGTGATTGTTACTTTATATGATAAACTGAATATGAAACTTTTTACCTTATTGCAAAATAAGTCTTATACAAAAAGTACTAAACTTGATACATATTCTATTAATACATATTTATAACATATACCCCTATATGTAGTTTAATCTGTTAACCTTACTAAGTTGATATTACTAATTAAAGAAGTTGAGAATCTAGTGTGTAGTTATAGCCTGAGTCTGCCTCCTTTTGCCTTTGGGTATCATGCAAATGTTTACATAAGTTTTTCGTGCAGGTTCTTATCATGTGTACATTCCCAGGTACAAGATTAACAGCTACCTTTTGCTTGAGTTCCTTCGTAATATTCAGATCCTGAAATATAACCACTTCTTTCACAAGGTACAATCCACCAATCAGTAAAAGGGAAATTAAAAAAAAAAAAAAAAAAAGGTGAAAGATTAAATTGTTAAAACACAAAACCAGAAGACTTTAAGAAATTATGTTCATAAGAAGACTGCCTACTTTGCTCTAAATAGTCTTAAGCTTTCTCACCTTTTAAATTGATACAAGCAAATTTTGATAATGTAACGTGACAAACAGTAATTAATTTTGAGCTTCATTGCTTGTATTTATTGTCTAGGAACACTTCTAGAAATTGTATTCTCTTTGGCTGTTTCAGGTGAAGAGAATCTAGATTCTGAAGAACCAGCTATGATGAATAATCTTTGCAGAAGTAATAATAACTGCTTAGCAGAGCAGAGGTCATACACACCATTTAATGATGAAAGCAGACAATTACTTTGTAATGAGCATATCAGCAGATCAGAGAGGGAAGACTTCCTAAAAGGGACAGAAGGAAAATTTTTTTTTCAACTGAGAAGAGAAAGGTCGGTATTGCTCAAGTATGGTAATGTACGTCTTCCACACAACCCTCTTCCTTAGATATTCAATTGTGCAACTATCAGAATGTTTAAAATTGATGGAATTTGAAGGTAGCACTATTTATGCATTAAACAAAAACTATGTTTAGATTATTGGGAAGAATTTCTGTTCCTAGAACATTTCTACACTCAAAAGACTAGTTTGTTCAAAAATTGTTGGTGGGAGGTTGCTCAATATGAAATAACTTTCATTTTGTTGGATCATTAACATGTCAAAACTAAATCTTCTAATAGTTGCATATTCAATTCAATAGAATACTTAAGTTTAAATTCAATGTGCTTGCTTTTACAGTTCAAGCCTTTTGTATTAAGGTGCTCTACATTCTTCCCTTAGCTCCGCAGATGAGTAGAGCCATGTTTCCAGTTCTGGCATTGGGGAAGCATGTAATCATACACAAAAAACAGGCTCAAACTCAGTGGCAATACAGGCAGAATTTTTTTAGTTCATTTTTTTCAATGACCAAACAGGTGTAAGAGATTAATAAGACTTATATGCATGCAATCTGGTTTTACTGAACCTAGATTTTTACATCCATTCTGTAATTCACAATTAAGTGTTTCTTTTTTTCTTTTGATTCAGACATGAATTCTTGCACAGGGAGGAATAGTCCATGAACATACACCTATGTTCAGTAGGTGTATCAGTTGCTGCATTGGTAGTTGGATGAACAACTGTTTTGTGCTAATAACTTCAACAGATATGACAATCTGTACAGCAAAGAATTAATAACTGTTTATTTTCAAAGCATCCTACAAACACTTGGTCATTATTAAATATAAAAGTTTGCCAGTAGATACCTTTTCTAGCACATTTTTATGCTTAAGAAAAATTATTTCCTTGGATAACCTTAAGCACTTTTGATATTAAAGAGTATATTCTTAATTTTATAAAATTAAATGCTTTTCATTTACTAACTTGATGATAGTACTGAATGTTTGGAAAATGTTGTCCATTGAGGCTGTTACAGCAGATGATACGTAGCAGAGCTATCATAGCACTCTTCTTTTATACAAACTGAAAGCAGGATTTTAAAATAAAAAAAATTCTGAAAGACTGGAGACTTGTGAGAGCAAAGAAGTTTCATGTGTATGCAGAGAGGGAAAATGAGAAAATAAGCCCAGTGATGAAAAATGTGGGTGAAGGAAAGTAAAGCACCCAGGAGAGTGCTTCAGTGCAGAATCATGTTCTCCCATTAAAATCAGTGACCCAAAAGGCTTTTTAGGTAAAGACTGTATGGATTATGATACCACAGAAGTTACTGTAATTTGACTTTTATTTAGTAAAAGTGTGGTGTGAAGTACTTTAGTGTTGCAGTTGAAATGAGTAGTTAGTTAATGGTATCCAAGTGTCTCTAATAAGAAAGAGTAATTTGATACTTGATATTAATTGGAAAGAATGACCTTTGTTCTGAGCCATAATTTTAAAATTTGCAGGTATGATTGAACAGTTAACTCCTTATACATCCTTGCTATCTGTTCAAAATTATATGCTTCTCCTTTATAAGCTTGAGAGCTCTGCAAGTTTTTGGTTTTGGGTTTTTGTTATTGGTGCTTTTTGTAATCACCCATTCATATGGCGTTGGTACCACAGTCATTGAGTTTTCTGGTAGCCTGAACCACAGAATGTCATGATTTACCTTGAGTACCTTGATAATTTTTGAGAATGACTGGCTTCTCTACTGAAATATTCTTAGGAACAGGCAAAAAAAGCCTGTTACCAAAAAGATTGCTCATTTTAACATGAAGTCTTATAGGATGTTTTCAGTTTGGTTGCTCTGTGTATGAGTAGTTTTAGAAAATATAAAAAGTTGAAAGGGGAAAATTACAAACTTTCAGTTTTATGTTTGTCAACTATCATTGCATATTGCAGAACAGATTGTCAAGGTTCATTTTGCGTAAACTCTACTGGCTTAATTTCTTTATAACCTGTTACTTACTTTTCTGACTCTTAATGTGATAGCTAAGCTACTAATGATTCTAACCATAAAAAATGGAATGTTAATGCATGGAGCTTGTCATATCCATGTTTGAACTAGGGAGAATAATACTAGATGTAGTTGAATCTCACCCATCACTTAAATCACCAATTGATTACTGGCCTTAAGATAATACCAAAACTTGTTTTCCAATCTTGTTCTGACTAGTTTTCTCCAAAGTAGAAGAGTGACATAATATTCCTCCCTCTTCCTGTGCTGAATGCAAGATCTGTGTTTTTGAATGCTGCATCTTTACCTTCTCCTGTAGGTTGTGCATGTTTACTTGAGACAGATGATTTTTGCCAGTGCTGCCTAAGAGATGCTGCCTGTGCTGCTTTATACCCTTGCACCAAGGATTGCTAACAACATTTAGATGCTCATATGGCTTCCCTGCAATGCTGTAATATGCACAGGTGATGGTTTGACCTTGGCTAAATGCCAGGTACCCACTAAGTTGCTCTATCACTTTCCCCCCCTTCCCACTTTTTTCTCAACAGGGCAAAGAGGGGAAAGAAAATAAGATAGACCAGCCCTTGTGGGTAAAACAAAATCAGTTTTAATATAAGCAAAGTGAAGCAAAGGTCTGCATGTGGAAGCAAAAAAAAAAGAAAACAGATTTATTCTCTACTTCCTATTAACAGGAGGTGATGTCGGGCCTTCTCAGGATCAGGGCTCCCATACACATAGCGGTTGCCTCGGAGGACCAAGCGTGACCCCACCCCCTTCCTCTTTTCTCCCAGCTTTATACTGAGCAGACGTCATATGGTCTGGAATATCCCTTTGGTCAGTTCGGGGCAGCTGTCCTGGTTGTGTCCCCTCCCAAGATCTTGCCCACCCTGTCCCACTGTGGGGGGGGGAATGTTGGAAAGAACCTTGGTGCTGTGTAAGCGCTGCTCAGCAGTAGCCACAACACCAGTGTGCTATCAACACCCTGCCAGCTCCCAGCATAAAACACAGCACCGTGAGGGCTGCTGTAGGGGAAAACTAATTCCAGCTCAGCCAGACCCAGTACAGCACAAAAATAATACAAAATGCTTTCCCTTTAGTAAAAAGTTGAAGATACCTCATCTGTGTCAACCCAAGTAGTTCATGCCATCATATGATGGAATGGCTCTAGGTAATTTCAACTGCTCTCATACATTATAACTGATTGCTAAGACTTGTGCCAATAAACATTGCGAATGTTTCAGTATTCACATGTGATATTACACAAGACAGACAGACCTTGATCTGTATCTGTTTCGGAGTTCAGAGATGTCATTCTTCACCTGACAAGGCAGTTGAAAGTATCACAAACCTATCCTTCAATACAGTTTGTTGAGTTTGGTCTTGATAGCAGTCGTATATAAAAGGTTCCAGTACCGTTAGAGGGGTCATTGCAGTAACAGGGTTCTGTCATTCTTTCTCAATAGAACATGTTTACAGGTACTAGATTATTGCTGTGATTAGATTGCATCTGCTTCTGTGTCCTAAATACTCGAGGCACCTTGTGTGAAGTTAGAAGATATTTTCTATTTAAAGTACATTGTATTCAGGAGTAATAGGAAGAAGGCTTAAAGGAATGTGAAAACTTTTATTACCTGGAGTCCTGTCATTCTCCATATGAAGCAGTTGTGTCAGCCTCAATTCTGTATCCCAGTGATTTAAAACCCTTGCAGGAGTTAAGCAAGAGGATTATAGAAATAGTACACTTCATACAAGCGAAGGTGCGTGAGACTTCTTACTCCCCTTTCCCCACAGTTCCTATACATGTCCCAAAATAACTTTTATAATAAAGCTGGTTTTCTGTTCATGATGAAACTGTAGAGCATGCCAAAATAGCATGGCAGATTCCTGTCATTAATGCTATTACATTTATTTCAAAGAGAACAGAAGTATTTTATTCCAGCAAGAAATTTGCTCACTTTCTACCTCAGATTCTTTTGTTGTCGCAGGGACTGATGAAAAGAATGAACAGTGCTAATGAAATCACTATTGCTTTATAAAGATACTGGGGGGGGGGGAAAATGACCTTTGGAGGGGGAGAGTTATTTGTCATTTTGTTTGCAATTCTGTTTTTCAAATAACCATCTAGTTATAATAGAATAGGTATATTAATTGAAACAGATTGAATTTATTGACGTGTTGCCTCAGGAAGGCAAGAAGCAATTTCTGACAATCATAAGGAAGCTGAGTTTTGTTTACAACTTCATCCAGCCATTGTGCCTTGCCATCTATTGTGATTGCTATAGAAATGAAACTTCTAAAATGTTTTCTGCATTCATATATTTCAACAGAAGTGTCAACAGTGATGGCAGATTTGCTGATGAAGAGCAACAGTTTCCCTCATGAGAAAAGATGAATTTTTTTTTCTCCTCCTCCAATTTCTCAATATTCTGAAAGCTTAGCTGTCATTCCAGGACTCCTTAGAAACATAGGTGCCTTCAATGACGAAAAGCTTGGTGGCAAACAGTTGCTTCCCCAGTGGCCTGCTCTACACTTTTTTTAATAAGTGTTTTCTATAAATACCTACAAAATGATTAGAAGGTGCTGTAGAGAAGATATACTGTGCCCTGTTTTCTATCACCATTGCTGTCCTTATTAAATGTCTGTTTGACAGAATCCTTGAGAGGTATTCATCAACTGCTTCCATAAGACTAGTTTCTCTTTCTTGTGCTTTTTAGAGTTTTGGAATGCTTCAATATAAAGTGATAAAAGCAGGGGACAAATGAATACTGGGGATCATTTCTGTCTGATTGCTTAAACTGGCTTCACATCTATGCCCAAAATATTCATTCCTTTTTTCCTCAAAGAAAAGAATTCCTACAGAGATAGATTTCTTTCCTGTAGGGCACACCCATTCTGTTTTGCTCTGGATGAATTTTTGAAATGAATGACATGGTGTGGATATTAGTTTGTTGTATGGTTTAGCTAATATTGCTGAAGATTCCCCAGACTTCTTTCAGGATTTGTCTTATTATATATATATTC